GAAGGAATGGTATTTCAGGCCTTTTTAAAACTATCACAAGTGTGCAATTTTCATCTGGAAGGCAATATATGACTATATACATTTACTACTAGAACATTAGCTGTAGCACAGAGCTTCAGAAGAAGAGACCTAAGTGATGTCAGTCTGGTTTTCTCCATTCTAGAGTCAAAGGCCTGCTACAGGAAAATAACCAAGAACTCAGGGGAGGAAAAAAGAAAGAAGAATGAAATACTTTTAATTATTTACTCTGCTTGTGAAAGATGTATATAAGAAGAACCTTCCCACTTGAAGAACTTACCTTCTAGTCCTTGTAAAAGGGCAACTCAGCAACACTGAAACAATTCTGAGATTTTTAAGCTTTCAATATTTTTTTCTTTCTAATTAGTGCTATCTCCACAAGTAAAAAAGAAAAAATGCTGAAAAAGGAAGGTCTCCAAAAATCCGAAACTCCACTAATTGCATTTATTGTTTACTTACATTATTGCTCTTGAGAAGGAAAGCAAAGAAGGGAAGTTCTCAGTTATCACCAAAGAATTTATTTAAAACAACCCTCTCTCTTCAAAGGACATTTTCATTACAGCTTTAGCCCTTTCCCCACTGCCATGTGTAACAGCCCCTGAAATCCATGGCTGCCCAGCTACACTGAGTGCTTCTGATCCCAGCCCAGCCATCTGCTGTGGTGCTCCCTGAGTCTGACTCTGCCATTCACCAGCAAGGAGCAAGTGTGAAAGGCTTCAGGAGAGCATCTCAGGCAGCTCTCAGCTCCCACAGCTGCTGCTGAAATAACTCTGTCCTACCCCTCCATCACCTACCACACGCTTCTATCACACTGCAACAGCCCTGCTCTCTGCCTGAGGAAGTTCCACTGCATGTCAGATCCCACACTCAGCAATCAGACTGTGGCAGCAGTGCATTTGCACACATTTTTACTATCACCCAGTATGAATTAATAGTCATAAAACTTCTGTTGCAACAATTAACTATTGTCCCTGAAGCACTGCAATTTCAAGATATCCCAATCAACACACAATAACTTTCCATTCTTCATCTTCTATATACACAACTGCCAAGGCTTTAATTTCCTTCCAGAAGGAATTATCAAGCTGTATGATTCATTCTGTGCATATATAAATATACATCTAATTATAACCAGATTTTAGCCTGACCTGTCTCTTAGAAATTCAGATAAACCTGTTCAACTGAGTTCAACAAACAATTCAGGATCTGCAAGAAGGGATTAAGTGGCTTTTATATGCTAGACTTTATGCTGCTACCTTATCTGTTTCAGTATAATAGCACAGGCCTATAAAACATACAACACACAAATTTGTTTGTCTTCCATCTAAGATGGATATTTGCCCATGCAGCCATTCCATGATAGATGTGTATGGGATAAAATCATACACAACTGCTATTGAGCCATGGCTGCTCCCCATGGCTCAGGCTCCATGTCCCCTGAGCACACACTGTCTGTCTGTCTGCTCACCTGGCAGCAGTACTGAGCTGGCCTCTCAAAGCTCTGCAGCATCCCATGCTGACACCAGAGACTCTGCTACTCTGCAAGTTTCTCCAGACTTATGATACTGCTGTGTGCCAGAAAATGGAAGTGAAGAGAGTTGTCAGATTAGGAAAGTGGCTGGAAAACACAGAGAGGCCTGAGGGAAAGGCTGAAATGAGTTTGGAGAGGCATGTGAGTACAGCAGGAAGCACTGCAGATCCCTGTAGCTAAAGAAACAAACCAGCAGCTTCAGATGAAAGCTGAATGCTGAGAAAGGAATAGCCAGTTTCTGGTTTTAGAGAAAACAAGCATGGCAAATCTGTGCTCATGAGCTCAACATTAGTGAGGCAGTCTAATGCCTGCCAGCTCATTTGGGTGATACACCCATTAAAGCATTTACTCTGCTTTCCTTAAATGTTTCTTAACTCAGTGCTTGCAGGGATAGAGGTCCTTGGCAGCCTAAGCTGTTCTGTCAATCTAAGGATATTGAATTACTGCAGAAGAGGCACATACCATAGCTTCTGGCTTGAGAACTTCAAAAAAAAATATTGGATTATCAAAACTGATAAGACTGTGGATTCAGAACAAGGCCAAAGTCCTAGTGCAGTCTATAATTAAACATTTCCATTCTTATTTTGAAAAAAAAAAAACCAAAACAAACAGAAACTGCCTCTTGCTCAAGAGTTTTAAAAACAAAAGCCACTTGAGACAGGAAAATTAAATCAACACAAAATGCTGCCAAAAGGGAAAATCCCAAGGCATACACAGGATCAACACCTTCCTCAGGCAAAAACCTGCTCTGCATGATCTACCCCTGTGTTTAAGCCTCCTGTGTCTGTAAACATGCAAGAAAAGAAATCTGTAATGCTTCAAACTCTGCCTTCCAATAACAAAGTGCTGCATATTCCTAATGTAGCCCCTTAACAGGCTTACAAAAATCCTCAGTGCTCTTCTAACACCATTTGAGGTTGCCTTGCCTGTTAATAGCACAAGTTGTCTAAATCCAGTCCCCAAACACTTGGCACAAATTCTCAACTTCTTCTGTTATGGAAACATGTACATATATAAAATAAACACGATTTCCCATCATGCTGCCCTCAGACATAAGCTCTCAGTGGTGCTGCATCCCTCATACATAGGCATATCATCAACTGCACTCTCAAAACACAAGAAGGGATAATTAAACTCATTACAGAACAGGTCCAGCACAGGCAATTGCCAGAGGACTCTCCCTGCAGTGACTCAGACACCTATTGACCAATGGGCCTCTGAATCAACAGTTTCATCTGCAAAGAACTGAAACCCTGGCAGAAGTTCTGAGCACTGGCAGTGCCAGGCTGGTGTCAATTATGCTGAGCACTGGGAGCAAGGAGACCACCTTTGTGGACCACAGGCTGAAAAAAGCCACGAGACAGTGGCCAGTTTGTTTATCCTCCTGGGCTATATTTGAGCTGGTGATTCACCCTGCTTGTCTTACTAATAACTCCTTCAGCTCTTCATTTCAGCCCCCTTCTCCAACCTCCACAAGCCTTCATAATTCAGCTATTACTCTACACACACTTGAAGATGAAAAATGCTACTACTGTTGCCAGAAAAGACACTTCCACCACTTGGAGCATATACAGTTTTTTACTTTTAAAAGCTCTCTGAAATCAAAGAGTAGTTATGTTACTGGGCAAAATCGTGTGTGGATTTCCTATAACATTAATTTCTGTCATTTTCCTATTGAGGGCATTAAATGCTCACCTTTGTCCACAGAAGCAGTAATCACTAATTACACTTTCATAATGTCACTAAAGCTATTCTGTTTCTCAAAATGTTGCAGTAAACTTCTTTTCCTTTTTGGTCTCAAGATGCTTCAGGAATCTCTTCTGTTATTCTGAATTATAACTATAAAAAGTTATTCTTTGAAGTCTTTCTTAGATTTATTTGCTTGCCAAGAACTCAAAAATAGCTGAACAAAGCAGCAGCTATAAAGTTAGCTCACTATGAGGAAGCATCTGTGCTGTTTTCATTTTCTTGGCTTTTTGGGTGGGGAGGGTTATTTAAATGGTAAGCAACTGCTGTGAAGGAAGGGAAAAAAATAACCAAACAAAAAAAACCCCCACATTGAGTAAAATCTTCCAAGTTTTAGTACAATAAAGCACTATGAAGCTCCACCTCTTCTACGATAATGTTCAATGAGTGGAATGGCTGTTTCAATTTACCAGATAACCAAAAGAAATCAGCAATAATGTTAGCAAAGCCAGCCTGAATAACTTGATCAGCCATCTTAGGAATGTTTCCTCTACTGAGCACAGGGAGGAGAAAAAAAAAAAACCAGAAAGACTAAATCAAATAAACTGTCCCTCTCATGGCAAAGTGCTCGCACTTGTGCTGTATCTTGAAATTTCTGGAAGTGTCTTTACCTTTGCTCCACTAAACATACAGACACTGAACCAGAGTGCATCTCTGCAACAGCAGCTAGAATGAGAACTGCAACATTGTCACCCCAGAAGGTGAAGAAAGTCACTGCCCACATATGTGCATCTTTGCCTCAGAGTGGCATCTGTAAGTTCCAGCAAGTGATGGTGACACATGTCCTGCTAATTGGCATACAGCTCCTCAGCCTCCTCATTTTACAGCAGTTCTTGGCAAGCACACCATACCAGGAACCTGCTTAAATTGCTAATTAATAACAGACTTGTCTTTGGGAGGGTGGGAAAGGGTTAATCTTTTAATTGAGGAGTTCCTACAAAACAGAAGTAAATAAGAAACATTAACTTTACCAACCACGAGTTTCCTTTTAGTCTGTACTCAAACTAATTCAACAGGCAAAGCATTTTATTGATTTTGACTCTAAACAGGCAGCACTATTCCTAACAAGAGAATATTCTTGTTTATTCTGAGCAGTACAGGGGGATTTAACAAACAACCCAATAAAGCAGGGTGGGAACATATGAATGGAAACTTCAGCTTATTTGATACCTAGATCTTGGGCAACGGAATAATTCCTTTTTATGGGACCCAGATTAAGCCGTAATATGAAAGTGGGAGGGAGTGAACACAATAACGACCCAGCTGAAACGTTATTGATTCACTTGTGAAATGTACAAAGGGAGTATAAATGAGACTTAAATACAATGCAATTGTATTTAAGTCATTTTTAATGAGACTCTAATGAGACCCATATTTAATGCAATGTCACTGAAACAAATAATATTTAGGGGCAGCTCAATGGTAACGCACATCTCTCATTTAGAACGTTATCAGTGAAGTTTTATGTTCTTACTGTGATTTTTTTTCACTTCAGTAAGTGCTTCTGAGGAGAAAAGACATACAAGGGCTGTGAGTGGAGCTCTGAGGGCTGATTCTGCAACCTTCCCTTAACATAGCAAATAGTGAGTGATGAACTCACCAGTCACCATAGAAAAACCCTCACTCAAGGTGAATGGCAATTGCAGGATCTGTCCTGAGAACTGGATATTTCATATTCAGTATGTATATTATGAAATAGTCTTACCTCAGTAAGAGCGTGCAGCTGTCCTTTATGCACACAGACACCCATAAACCTACAAGAAACAAGAAAAGAAAAGTGGTTTGGGCTTTTTTCCCCCCCTCTTTTTGTTCTTTAAAAAACTAATATAGGATACACCAAAAAAGGAGGAAAGAAAAAAAATTCAGCCTCACAGACACTGCATACCTCACTACTGATTATTTAAACATCTCAGTACAAAAAATCATGTATCTACACTACAATATAATTTGAATTAGCAGTTCCAAGACAGCACAGGAGACAGCTCAACCTCAAAATGGAAAGTTATTAATTTAACTATAAGCAAAGGCCAACATATAATGATTTATGCAGAAGGGAACAGTCTCAGAGTCCTATTTTAAGGAAGTTTAAGCCAAGCAATCCACTGTTGGTCTGCATAAACAGAAAATTACTTCCCTCTGCATTTTGCTGTTTAAGCATAAAGATGTTTCCTCCTATCCCATTCTTAGCCACTCAGGAATATGAGGGCACATATGCAATGTATACTTCCTCTCCCCAAACTCCTCTTTGCAACACTGGGACAGAAGCAGGTTTCAGTAGTATCCAGTACAGACACATTCCACAAGTGTTACCTACACTGCACAATTTTCGGACTCCTGCTGTTAATAGTAATGATTGCCACCCTTGGTTTCTCTGGAAAGCAACAGAATGTGCCATAAACAACTATAAGCTCATTTTCACCACCATACAAGCTGAACTTAATGTAAAATTAACACTACTAGCAAACATTTCCCATTAAAAAGTTCAGTAAAGCTGCAATTTTAAACACAGTTCAAGTGTTCACTCTTTATAGATGAACTAATTCTCAGTTTTAGCATTTAAATTTTGGTCTCAGCAAGCAAAATCAAGCCATCTGTCATTTCCACAACACTCAGAAATTTCCATTTTGCAAGTAAGAGGTAGACAGGTATGATCTCCTTAAATGTGACAGGAATGTTGTGGACAACAACTCAAAGGAAAAGGACCTTTTATATCCTGAAACACTTCCGAATTTAAATACAAAATGATGCAAGACACGTAGTGCTAGTTCAGCTAAGCTGCTTTTGAAGAAATGAATGATCCTCACTGTTCTCTTGTCTAACAGCTGACTGGTAAATTACAAGCAGCCAAAGCAAAATAATATAGGTAAGGTCCTTTGCATAACCTGAGCTGTGGAAATCTGTTTTTATAACCCAAAAAGAAGCAAGGCTTGAATTAGAACTTCTACTGCCTGCTCTCACCTCAAACACTCAAACAATACTCCTTGAATACAGGACTTTTAACTTGAGAGACACTGAAAATCCAATTGCTCTTGTTTAAAGTGGAATCACAGGGGATGATCAGGCCCTCAGAAGAAAGGGAAGCTTCTTTTAGATGTAGCACGTACACAAAGCATTGCTCATTCTGAGTTTCACTTCATACAGCAATCAACATATGAATAATTTTTTAAAGAAATTGACAACTTAAACTTCCTGAGATGAAGAAACCCAGACTTCTACAGAGCATAAATCTATTTCTTAGTTCATTCTGAAAGGCTCCAGAGCTATCAGGCATGGTGTTAATGGCTTTTTTCACAAGCAAAAATGGAAAGTAACCAATTCCAATATATTACTTTCCCTATAAGGCAACTTTCCAAAGCACTATTTTCTCTATCAACTACACAAAGTTAACCTGCTATGGCAATATTTTCATTCAACAAAAACTGAGATTAAGTAATTTAAAATAATAATGTTTTCATCTGTTCTGGTCAGGGGAAGTCTCAATAGAAACATATTCATTACCTTTGCGAACCTACGCTTAAGGCAGCAAAGACACATTGAATCAAGTCACCAAGAGTAAGAGTTGAAAACTTCTCACATGCTTAGGATTTCTGCTAAGAATCAAAAATCAAAAAGCAAAGCTCCATATCATGATCTCATGGAAAAAAAGCTGGACATAAAGAGACATTTATAAATCCCACATATTTAGAAACTATTACCCAGGAAAAGAAACCAAATACACTGATAAAGACACAATTAATGAGCTTACAAGCAACATACTGAAGCCATTTAAACTTTGTGTGAATGAATCTCAGTTTTCAGGCTCTGGAAAACAGATTGATAGAACAGACCTCTAGCAATCCAAATTTCTGGAAAACTTCTGCTTAGCTGTTTTATCAGGCAATAATAAGCCACTTGGTTAAGCCAAGAACTGCTACAAGACATTGTTGGAAAGGATTTTCACTAAAAGCTAATACACCCAGCTGCTACTGGGAAATACAATTACCAAGCAAGATTTAACATGGTTTCAATTTCTGAGATTGCCCCAGATGAGATTCCAAGCTGTGTGGATAGGAAGCTGACATGCTGGTCCAGCACAGCTGAGATTATTCCTGTTGGCTAGACACACTGTCTCCTGAGCCAAAATGTGCTTGTAGGTGAACTTCAGCAGAATGTCTTGTCAGCCAAAGGTTACACTTCCTATAAGCATTTCGAGCTGGAAGGAGCTCCAATAGGCCAATCATCCACAAAACAGGAGATCATTTGCAGATTTAAGGAAGTTTATTTTCAAGACAGTGTATCTGGCCTTATCAGCAAGCTGAAACACTTCCAAAATCTGGCTGGAAAATTTTTCCTGGAAGCTGCAAATAGAAAGGATGATACTTGAGTCCACCCAACTAAATACAGTGCAGCACATTTCCACTATCAAATGCTTTCTAACAAATGTCAGCAATCTATACACATGTTGGAAATCTCATTTTATAAACAATCAATCTGGTAAAACTGTCCTTCTAAAGAAAACCAAGAGAAGTCTGGATATTTCTTAGTCCTTCACAGTGGTTACACAAACTACTTTCAGTTCAGTCAGATGGCAAGGGAGAAAATCCTGGACAAAAAAAAAGGGAGACTAAATAACTAAATACTGCAGCTTCAGTCTGAAATCTTTGCCTTAATTTATCAAACAAAACTAATATCCAGATCACACAGCTTCTGTGGATATGCAGACACTGAACACATGCTTCCAGTTAAAAGAACTTCACTGGGACACATTCCTGCTCAGTGGATAAACCTGGGGCAGCTACAGTTCAACAAAAGAAATTGATGCCCTCAAAAATTTACTGCTTGTATGAGAAAATTCAGCACTTTGATAACATTTAACAAAAGAAACAAACCAAACACACCAATGCAAAAGCCTCTAGTACAGGCTCAGTAACAGAGACAAAAGGTCAGAAAAGACACATGCTTTTTTCATTGCACTGACTTGGAGAAGGAAGAGGGCAAATAAAAATATTAAGTCGGCATTAAGGCCCTCCTTAATGGTTTAGGAGCCATGCTAGATTAAAAATGTATTTTAAGTTTTCTACACTTGCATCTTGATTCTAGAAGAGGTAAGGCATTTAGCTATAATTTCTGTAACATATTACACACAACACATACAGCCTCTCTTCTGCTGCCTTGTACACTGTTTTTCTAAAATACTCCTTTTTGATAACCACGTTACACAAAGAGAAGAAAAAGCAATTTTCTTTCCTGTTAAAGCACTGTTCAGTACAGGACAAAGGATGTTAAAAGACAAAATCCAACCTTCTGGCTATTGTAACAAAGTCCATCACGAGCAATTTTACCAAAAGGAAGGTCTGAAAGGATAAAACTACACACAAAAAGAAATCCCTGGTATTGTGTTCCCAGGGTGATAGATTTGTCTCAAAGGGGATGAAATAAAATTCTCCTTGAAAGGAGTTCATGGAATATGCACACAGTGTGCTTACTTGTGTGCTGCACACACAAGAAGGTGGATTTAATCAATGAGTCAATCTGCCTGCATGCTCACAGCCAAACATGCAGCAATACCTCCAAGTGCTCCCACGAGAACGCTTAAGACATGAGCTAAGACTTGCTGTGTACAGAATGTTTTAAATTAAGTCCCCAAGGTACAGATCAAATAAAGAAATACTTTTTCATACAAACAATAGTGATATTAAAGACTGAAATTCTACCTCAAAATTGAAGATACACCAATTTAAGAGACAGCACAAGAGATGGAGAATCATTGGTAGCACACCACTTCATTTATTATGAGAAAAACACATCTGTAAGATATTACCACAAAAAAAAATCTATCAGGTCTCTCAGACTGAAGGCTCCCAAGCTCAGGACACAAGGATGGAGATTTCTTGAGTCCTTTCCAGACCAATTTTCTTACTTTGATTTGGGTGAAAACTCATGACTACAGCAGCACATCAGCATTCAGGAAAGTAACAAAATGGTAGAGCACATCTACAACACATCTACATACACCAACCTTTCATAACCATGGTGCTTGATCTAAGCCAACCCTTGAACAGCACTGCCCTTTAAACAGGACACAAGCTAATAAACAAGTGGAGAAATGTTCCAAACTCCTGTTTTCCCTAACAGCAGCAATTACAGTCTTGCCATGTATCAGCTAACCTGCATCACAGTGGCTATAGTAAACATCACATGGTACAAACCCCAACCTCAGCTCACTTTTCCAACCTCCTCTCACCATCTGTCTGAGGGAAGATGTGATAAAGACAGCACATCCCACAGCCAAGGCAGGAAGAAATGTAGACAACAAGAAAAGCATTTTAACTCTCCATGTTTAACTTGTATGCAGGAGTGAGATGGAGACGGGAGATGAGGTTGATGGTAGAAACAAAGAAAACACTCCTTGAACACCATTTGTCTGCCTGCCCTGTCCACTCCTAAAATGCCCCCAACCTGGACCCTGGGGAAAAACCAGCAAACCAGAAAGATAAGCAGGTCTCATACATAGTTGTTATAAACACCAGACAGTGACTGAATAAAAAGCTACTACATTGTAGATAACACCTACTCTGCCTCTAGAATCACATCTGCTAGCTGAAATAGGAAACAAGAGGAAGGCAGACAAAAAAAACTCCCAAATCCCCTATTTTTTACCATCATGCCTGTGTAGCTGCAAGAGCTGGAGTCTTCTATTCTAAAATATCCTTAACAGACTGAAAAAGAAGTTCTACTTTTTGCCAAAATAAATCCTGTAATAGAGGGCAGCCTCTCATTTTCTTCATGGAAAATACATTAAAAGCTTACATATATACATATATTTGACCACTGGAATCTTTATGATCCTACCATGGGGACAGCAGACTTACTGGGGGCTTGGTAAGTGAAAACTAAAGTCTTCACTTACATCTCTGTTCTAATCAAGATGGATCTATATGGCTGGCCAAGGGCAGAATTTGAGTGCAGAAATACTGAAATGAGTGTGGAGATTTAAAGTCAGCCTTTTGCTCCATGGCCAATAAAACCTGTTGCTTTTAAAGCCTAAATACCCAGATCAGTACTTCACCATGTAAAACAAACTCACCAAGAGAAGCTGAAACACCTTCACCCAATTCCATCTCAAGATGTGCAAAAGCATCAGTAAGGTAAAACACAGATGCACCTTTAGGTAATCTCTACTCAGCTCAGGAATGGAAGTCAGCAACTAGTGACAAACTCACACTCCAGAAAAGTGACCAGAGTCTGGATAAAAACCTCAAAAAGCACCTGTAACTCTGAAAAGAGGTTGATATGGACAGCACAGAAGGAAAAGCAGTTTCAAATAGTCAGCAATATTATTAGTCACATCAGTGCAATCAACAGCAAAAGTACCAAAATCTTCACAATAACATCTTGAAGCTAACTGTGGGCACATGGGAATTGACAGCTTGTAAAAAGCTCCTATATATTTCAGAGCACAGACAAAGGGGTGGGTTTTTTAATTACCCAAAGGATAATGATGATCCTGGGCTACAAAATGCACTCCAAGGAAGAAGAAATCTCTTCCTTCCATAACACTTAGGTATACAAACTACAGAAGAGCTGTTGAACAAAAACTCTGATTCAATAAGAAATCTGAGGTATTCCTCATCAGGATGTTCAAAAACACACTCCCAGCTTAAGGAAGGTTTCAGTGTACTGAAATAAATGCCTCATTGCTGAATCTGACATTTGCTTTCTAAAACATGAACTTGCTATCCTACTCATGTGGAGATGGCTTGAGAGCAGATTTTGGAGGCTGTAAAGCCAGTATTTATCCAGTTCCATAATTCTACAAGCCATTTGATGGCAGAGCACCTTGCAGCCCTCACCTGGTTCAATTAACCCCTGCACAATGTCATCTCAATGTTTCAGCCTAAGAACCCATTACTATCCATACTGGCTGGCAACAGGAAGGAAAGAAACTTGTTTACAGTACAAGTTAACAGTAGGCTGCCCCAGAGCTCAGAGGAGATGAAGAAGCTCAGAAATGTATTATGTAAAAACCAGAGGACACCTTCAAGGCATGTGGAGGAGATCCAGTGGCTAATCAATACAGAAGTGATGCTAGTGACAAAACACCTTACTCAGTAACACAGAAGAACTTCAAAGGAAAGAAATTAGGTGAAGGAAATATTTAACAGCAAACTGAGATAGCTCATAGCCCCAGGAAAAGTTATATATTAGAACTACTTTGAAGAGGATATCCCCTTTAAATACTAATACAACCTTAAAATTTCCAACAATAATCCCAGAAAATGGTTCAGTGGGAACAGGTTGCTGTAGAACATTTTCCTAAAAACCCCTCAGCAATACAACTCAGCTGCTCTTATCTGACAGCACAATGTTGTCAAACAAGCAACACAACCTCTCACCACTTTAAGTGCAAATTAGCATTAATTATTTTTATGTGTTTCTAAAGTGGGAAACAGCTGTTTCACAAGACTATCAGAAGCACTAATGATTTACACAATTATGAAATCTAAATAGAGAGGCTTGCATGTGTGTGTTTATATAAAAGTATACACAGACAGATAGGCAGGTAACATTTAAGAGGGGCAAAATCTTCTCCCAGACATGAAGAAATTGAAAACACTGCAGTGAAATTTAGACAAAAACTTAAATGACACATAATTAACACATAAAACCATAAAGTTATCTCCTACACATAAAAATAGTAGTTTTTACTGTGTATTATAATTCAGTAAAAAAAAAAAAAAAAAACTAAAACTAAATACTGTTTCCTCATTTGGATTTCCTGTAAGAATAACTCTGCTCCCTGTAGCAAGGGGACTTGCCTAACAGATAAGAAAAAGGCAGTATTTTACCAGAGCCTGCTTTTTTTTGAAGAAGCCTCAAATCAAGCAATTCATAAATCAAACACAGTTTATTCTTCTAAACAACCTGTGCAAAGACAGACAATTTCTATTTAAGTAATTTATTCTGATGTATTCAGTCATACCTGCTTACTTGAGCACAAAAGAATTCTCTGCCAATCATGTGTAATAACTGGAAGAACAAATGAAATTCCTTTTCTGCTTCATACATAAATCAATACATTATTGTTCTTCCTTCAGGACCATCTGTGTAACACTGCTGATTTCAAATTATTCATAGGCTCCAAGGCCAGAGGGGACCAGTACATCACAAATATGATCTCTTTTACTTCACAAGACACCTAAATTTCAGGAGTCACTCAGGACTAAGCACAATATTTTTTATTCTCAGCAACACCTCTGTAATCCCATTCAAGAGGGGGCAGGGTTATATTTAAGTACAACTGAATGCTTTTGGCCTGTCAATATATCCCTTTCCTACTTTCCCTCATCTCAACCCAAATTCAATTATTGATTTTGAAGAGAGCTGTAGAGCTAGATTTTTTTTTTAATAAGATTTGCCAACCACACAAAGTTGATAAAGAAACTGATGAAGTGTACTGAGCTGATGATTCTGACAATGCCAATTTTACTTTGGAAAGTTTCTCTTTCCACAAACCTTATTAGAAAAGCAGCTTTATCAGTCCCAGGGTCATATGCTGCTTATCAAAGGATTCAGAAAAAAAAAGAAATTAAGGAAAAACGTGGGGAATCAATAGAAGACACAATTAATGACCCTGAATTCGAAATAACCAGATAGATAATATAATTTAAATTAAAAATATAAGAACAACAACAAACAGAAGGAGGAGTTGCTTGGAATGCACCTCACCTTGGAGCAGAGAAAACAGACTAGGAATTGCATTTAGGGATAGATGACTACAACACTTGAATAAATATATTATGATAAAACCAAAACAGTTTACAAGGAGTAAGAATTCTTTAAATTCACAGCTTTTTGAGGTTTTAAGAAAAAGAATAATAGAAAACAGACATGAAGTAATGGAATGCTCCTTACAGGTATTTCAAAAGCTTCTGACATTTATGTGTCCTCATAAATACTGAGGGAAACACACAGGATAATATTGATACAAATCAGTTGATGAAGACTGAGATAGGATTTCAAGGATCAGAAAAATCGGTTATAAAGGATTTTAGGAATCAGAATTATGTCTGGACTATGTAACAGAATGGTGAAGAAAAAGAAATTAAGTAGCAGAGCTCACTCTATCTCCAAAACTTTTCAGAAAGAACTGAGATCAGAAATGGATCCCAGCTGAGCAACAGCAGCTTACAGAACTGTCATTTGGGGCATTGTCATCACAGCTTCAAACTTCATCATGTTATGGCTTCAGCCAATTATGTTAATTGCTTGTCACATCACCACAGAAGAGAAACCAAGACTAAAATGGTTTAAGGAATAACAAGATACACCTTGGAACATCTTGGATTTGCATGCAGTGATCTAATGCAAAGCAAGAACTACCCTTTTCCTTCCAGGAGCATATAAATTAGATTAGTTCAACTCTAGCTTCTTTTCTTCAGTCCTTCTTTTCCCACCTTGCAATACTGCAATAAGAAAATCCCAAAAACTAGGAAGCAGACCTAAGACTAGGGAACAGCTATGGCATTTTGCATTGTTTAATTTTAAGATTAGTAACAGTAAGTTAGTTGAATAGTGTTAAATTTGAATAGCTTAAATTCACAACAAGAAGCCAAATTTCACTTTTCATATCACTTTACTGATTCATTAGAAATTTAAAATGTGAGCACTTGTTTTTCTATGACACAAGTTACTCTTTACTGACAAACTCCAAATACCAAAGTTATGTCCATGTTTGGGTTTTTTCTCTTAAGTTGTCTTCTTCCTCCCATTCATCTATTAAATTAGCCATTGATCCTAACACATTCAGAACAGATAAACCTACAACAAAAACTAACTAAATAAAAATTGGAAAGAGGAGAGCCCTACTAAAGACAACCTATCTCTAGATGTTTCAGAAAAAAGCCAGTGTACCTTAAGATGTTCGGATGTGAGAGTCTATTCATAAGTTGAACCTCTTTCAGCATGTTTGCTCTGTTGCTGTTCAGTGTGTTCATCTTCAAAGCCATAACCTGGTCTGAAGTTCTGTGCCTTACCTATTGGACAGAAGCAAAAAATGGTAAGGATATGAAATGAGAGACTGAAGAAACCAGTATTGTTGTAGTGCAATGTAAAGATCCTTCATGACAAAAGTGATCCATACACCAATTTTTGCAGTCTTTATCACAGGTGACTTTCTAGAAGCATACTACACAAATGTGAAATGGCATTTTGCTCTTCTCTTGCAACTCATGATGACAGAAAGCTTGAGAAGTTGAAAAAACCCCAACTATCAGCTCCTTAGTGTAAGTGAAGGAAGCCATCTGTTTGTACACAGAGAAAAAGTTTCCCTCTCCAAGACCTATGAAACTTATTTTCATTCCACCCATATCCTTTTTTCCCCCTGCAGAGGTTGCTGCCATTGTTCACAGAATGTGTGATACAAGGACCTGCTGCTTACAGCTACAGGCAGATTTTGGAGGTACTCGGTGTTTACTTCTGAAAATAGACAATGATCCAGGGGACTGCCAGCATTCCTGCCAAGCCCTGCTGCAGAGCAGAGAGGTTCCTGCACAGGAGATCACCTCACCCAGGGTGGCAGCAGTGGCTGTACAGCATCAGCAGGAAAAAGAGCATTTCTCTGGCAACTGCACAGCACCAGCACCTTGTTCAGCATGGCTTTCCCCAGGCAGAAATGCAGGGCTGTGGCCATTTCTAACTTGCTACTCAGACCAGCCCATCTGTCAAGTGTAATGTAGATGTGTGCTACTATTAGAAAGGAGCTGTCACAATAGTGAAAGGCTTGCCAAGCCTTTGAATCTCCTTGCAGTTGGGCATTCCCACACACATACTGGGAGTATTCACGGAAATTATGTTCCCATTTTCTTCCTACATCAGTACCTGCAGCTCATAAATAGAAAACATGCATTTCTCAAAACACTCAATTACCCCCATGGCAAATTCATTCATGTTATGGAGATTAGCTTAGGAAAGTCTGTGTTACAGGAATTTAAGACTCATCAGCTTTCTAATTTAAAACTGAAATCAACATTATGACTTAGGTACATACAAACTACCTACATTTTAAACAACAGCAGTCTGTCTGCTTATATTTCAAAAGACTATTCATCTTTTCCAGTAAGAGGCTCCTTTAGCTATGATATGTTAATTACAGAAAGAAAAACTGAATCCATGATTAGCAGATGCAAGAAGAAAATGAGGTATGGGTTTTGAAAGCAAGGCTCCCTCCCTGGCAGTTCTGAGGCAGCGAGTGATACCTATTTTCAAGTTTTATTTGCACAGCACTATTTGCAAGAAGAAGGGGCATGTTTAGCTGAAACATTGTCATCTAGACACGAAGCCCATCAATACAGCACAGAGATGTACAGGGAGGAAAGGGTGTCATGTTTCAGCTGTGTGTCTGGCTTAACACTTCTACATTGCCTCTTGCCGTCCTAGTTTCAGGTATAGGGTAGCACTGGAAACATCCCAGATGAGTGTGATAAACAACATCGAGGCACTGAGTAGAAAAAAAGCCCTCAGCTGCTTTTCCTCCTGCTTCCCCTCTGCTTATGTACAGAGCTCCTCAAATGCCTCACCTACAGTCACCCAGTAATCCCAGAGCAAGAAGGATCAGGGAAAGGGGGTGGAAAAGAATACAGAAACCAGCACTGAGTAGAAACCAACAGCAAGTTCACAAGCATGGCACTCCTCCTTTCTGTGGTAATATTGGTTTTAAAATAAAACTGGTCAAACTACAGCTTTAATGCATTACAACAAGATAATGGAGAATCATTCTCCACACAACCTGTCTTGCCTGTTTGGCATGCTTATTGATTTTAAGCAGGATGATTGCATGTTAAGTTGATGAGGTTTATTGTTACTTGCTAGGTTTCTTGTGTCAGTTGTGTACTTTCATTAACTTTTAATTTTATCCAGCCAATTTGAATGAATAAACTAAGTTGGACAGGTCAATGTCTACACAGAGCCTTTTAAAACATATTTTAGTTATACCTTAGTTTCACTAGAAGTAATACCTTGGGTTGGGGGGAAAAGTTTAAAATGTTTTCACAGACTCAGAAAACTTCAACAATGTAAATTTAAATAAAGAAGAAAGGACTATGCTTTGAACCTATACACAGCAGCAGCTAAATCAACACACTTCCTCTGAGACAAAATCTTGGGTGTTGTGGTGGAGTAATCTGGGGTTTTCAGGGAAAAAAATTGAAGTAACAATTCCTACAGTCAGAGATGCTCTCAACAGAAACGAGCTTTCCACCAACACAGAAGCTTCAAAGTCTGCCAAAAAGGAACAAATACAGGCAGAAGGTGATCAGGAACTCAGATGGAATGTGGTCTTAAACAGTATTTGCCTTCTCATTAACTCTGCCACTTATCTCTTAATTTCTTGCCTATTCCTACAATTCATTCAGTTTCATTTCAAAATTTCCTGCTCTTTTGCCTCAACTCTGAAGTAAAAGCAGAATTTATCACAGAACTTTTTTTCCTTGTTCAGATGGCTTTTCTTAAGCTAAGGAAACCTCAGAAAAGAAGGTGGGTAACTTTTTGGGTCACTGCATCCTGCATGCTTCTTGGATATTCAGGTCTGATATGCAACAAGAAGTGGCCAACAAGTGCTTCTCAAAGGTCTGACTGTCCATAGCACTACCTGCACATCCAGAGAAAAATGAGCTGCTTTTACAAAGACAAAACTTTTCATCCTCTGTTTTAGGCTATCCTGCAGTCTTTCCCATCTTGAGACACTGAACAAGGTTTGGTGGCAGGGGCAGTAAGGTTTTCTTTTTTTTTGTTTTATAAAATCATATTCCTCATGCTTGGAAATTTCTCGAGTTTCTTACACATAGAGCAGCAGAGTCTATCCAGTTATCTGGTCTCTAAATAGTACCCAACATAGCACTATGCTTTGTTTCACTTAAAGAACAGAGTAAAATAACACCAGCAATTTTAAGTTCTGTATATTCTTCTGATGTTGGAGGATGTATTTCTACAAGATCTGACAGAACAGCAAAATTCCAAATCAAACCAAGGGAGAAAGGGAAAAAAGGGACTCCTCTTGTTAGTTATCCTTTAAGCAGAGAGGAAGAAGCAGAACTGGAGGTGAGAGGGCATCTTTCTCAAGAGGACAATACTCAATATTATGAATAAAAGCAACTATCAGTTTATAAATTATGGAGCACAATGCTAATCACCTGGAATACACCTAAGACTAACCATGAAGCACAACTGGCAAATAGCATTGCTATGGCAAGAACAAATTGACAACAAGGATCTGACAGGTTTTGTCTTTAAGGTCTCAGTCAAACTGAATTATCAACATGGAAGGAGCTGTCAGCTCTGCCCTCCATGCCTACTTGCCCATCAGTCATCCCCTAGACAAAATTTGTGTCTCTCCTGGCATGCCTTGCCAAAGCCCTGCACACTGTTTAGTTTTAATCCTTCTTCTCCTTTCAGGCCACCTCTGTGCCACAAAAGCATGGAAGTCATGCTTCAACCACCTGAATCCAGAAGGCAAATTAGTAAATATTTTGGCAATACTGCTGATCCAATTTAACATTTGTTTACAAGGCAGTTTGCCTCAAGCATATGCTTGTATACTCAACATAAACAGGGATTCACTCATGCAATTCAAACCTCTCACTGATGCAACTTGCAGGCTGCTGTGAAGCTCTCAAAGCTGTTGACATTATTATTAATTATGGCCCCTTGCATATCAGACAAAATAACCTTTCAGCCATGTCTGGATCATGGCTCTCTGCTTAGAAACATTCTGACAATCCTACAGCTGCTTTCTCAGTCTGCTTACCTATGTGTGTGACTCCATCTCCAAGGTCACAGCAACCAGATATTGCCTCCCTGTTTTATTGCTGACAGGCAGTTAAACTGTCCCTTTGCACGGTGATTCTCCCAGGATCAAAGCACTTTGGACATTGACCTGGCCATGGTTACCTGTGTGGTTCTGCTCACATCAGACCATGTTCTGATCCTTACCCCTTTTGTCAGAATCAAGTGGGAAGTAGAGGAAGCCATGGATACAGGTAAAAAAATAGTGATGCATTTAAAGGAAATCTCATAATAGTGATTCAGCAGGGCTCACATTCCAGAGAAGTAGTCACTAAATAAAGTTCATGAGGATTATCATGCAAAAATTCATGGGTTTAATGTTCAGCTTGCTGCTTAGCTGTAAAGCTCTTTATAGTTAAAAAAATTAAATATACTTTAGATTATTATTTATCTATTACATCATATACATTTGTCAGGATTCTCTGAAAATCCAAACATTTATATTACTTCTAATTTTTGCTGGACTGAAGGGGAGGTATTTTTAAGCAACAGCTGAAATCTAGCCTGATTTCATCTTTCACAAAGCCTTTTTGATCTGCATTCACTGTACCTTTCCAGGTGGCCCTGGAATAAACATCTGAAGAACATTTCCTAATACTGATATTGTAAATCTGCCAACACAGCTTTCAGCTGTGCTCCTAGTTTTTCATTGCATTTTCATTATTTTCCAAATCATCATTATATAGCTAGAAGTATTTTGTCACAGTTCTCTTCCAAAACTTGATTTAACTGCTTTCCAGTTTTTCCTTACCTTCCCCTCCTTCTGGCATCCAGCCTCACTGCTTAAATACATTTACAGATCTTTACTTATACAGCCTACTCCATAAAATCATGTTGCTGCTCTAGCACACACACCAATTTTTTGTTCATTCTTTCACACATCTTGGTCTTCATCTGGCCATTTTACCTTCACCTTTGCTGCCATGTATCCAAAACACCATTTTTAAAGCAGTCCCCTCTGGTCCAAGTATTTCACCTTCCTTGCATTTGCTTCTCTGTCTTCATTTGATTTACAAGTATTTTCTCTTTGATGAGAAGAGATGAAGGCATTCCCTTAGCTACCATCCTAGGCCATTTGCACTACATGTTTTACACAACTCAATTTTGATTAACTGAGTTAACAAAGCTTGTGTGGCACGTGAGATAAAGCAGTAATCACTGTCAGAGAGAAAAGGCTTCATCATAAGAGTGCCTA